TGGTTGCGTCACAGATGGTGTATTTCTTGTACTTTGCACCTAGCGCTTTCCAAGTGAGTCGTACAGGTTTTGGGGATTTTGCTCTTTTACAACTCTTTTGTTTTTTTTCTCTTTGTTCATGTCTCCAATCAATTTTTAAACTGTAACTGAATAAGATGCTAACAGGTTTTTTTTCATTCATTGATAAGTTGTTTAGGGTATTCTTTTTGACATATGCGCAATTCTTTCTGGTGTGTGGGTGAATTTATTGGGCATTGTTGCTGGATTTTTCATTATAAACACTGTTATGTACGTGTTGGAGGTGAGTGTTCTTGAACAGTTGCTCAGCTGGTGGGTCCGTCTACGTCACCAAGTTGTTTGCAGGCATTCCCTTCGACGAGGTTCATAGTCGCCAAAGTAGAAAATATGGCTTATATTGGTCCAGTAGTACTGGATCGGAGATATCAAATCAAGTAAGTATTCAATCTTGCCTTTCTTTGACGTAACTCTAATAGAGCGACTCCGATGTTGCGCGGGAACATCATGGCTGCTGTTTAGAGTTGTCCTAACAGTCACCCTGGTGATGTCGTTATTGATGTGGCTCGGTAGCGACAAAATCGTTGTCAAACACGTCACTATTCCCATCAAGTTATGATTCGCTTCATTTACTGGTTGTTGTCTTTTTAACGGCATCATAACTGCATACTCAAACTTTTTTGATAATCGTTTTGTTTATAGGGCTTCACTGGATCAAATGGATCGTTCAAAATTGCCCTAGTATCAGACATTCATGCTGGTGCAAGTGTTCATAGAGATCAAGTGAGATGTTAGGTTCTTTCACTTTTGCTTATGCTCGCATTTTTTGACCCAATCATCGATCCGGTGTCACGGAATTTATCAATAAGATCTGCGTTTCGAGATACGTAGCGTTTTGAGCGACTGTGAAAAAACACTGCCATACGCCCGCAACGACGCAGAGTGTGAACGCACTCTAGCGTGTCCCCACAAATATTTTCCATTTGCAGGTTTCCAAAGTAGTTGATAAGCTTCTTGATCTTCATGTTGATGCAGTGGCTTTGGTCGGTGACATGGTTGACGGGTCGCTACGAAGCTTGGAAGGCCGAATGGTGCCATTATGGTAAGTTCCCTTCGCATTGCAAGGGTTAACCACGCTCCAAATTCTATTGCTTCCTTTTTCGTCCTTTTGTTAGCGATACTTTTACACTTCTCGTTCAAAAAAGATGCAGCATAAACCCCTCAAACAGCAATTGTTTTGTTTGTTTTGTATCAATTTCTTGGTCATTTCAGGATGCTGCCTACAGATACCGCACTTACTTTGTCTCAGGAAATCATGAGTATTACTACGGTAATGCTATGGAATGGTTCAGAGAATATGATCGCCGCGGAATCCGTGTGTTGAATAACAAGTAACATTTGGGTCATATTGTTAATATTGAAGTTTCTACTTCGATCTTTCTTGGCCTTGATATGACGTTAAATACGGTCTCTCCTTTTACTTTTTCATTTAAACGAGCAGGGGTGAGACCTGTGAAAACTTGTGAAGCTGCTTAGTGGTGCAGAGTGGTACAACTGAGTCACTGTGGTCAAAAAATCCATATGTCTTCACAAAGTAGTCTGTCGAGCTTCGCTGAGTACCATTTAGTGCCCATCAAGCCGAACTGCGCCAGTTGCATTGACCACAATGATAGTATAACGTGCTAAGTGTGCCATTATTTTCTGTTCTTTGCGTTTTTGAATAATCACTTCAAGTATGTCTATTTTTCCAGGTGCGATATGTTCCATGGTATTTGTATTGTGGGTGTCAATGACGTTTCAAGTGGAAAATCAGGGTCTGTTCCTTTCAATTTCCTTCGATCTACAAACCTGAAAGTACATCTTTCTCGACTTGTAAAGCAATGAGCACGTTGATGGAAAGTAGTGAAAGCGCAAAATGTCGCTTCCTTCCAAGCTGCAGTGCGCCAGTTGCTTGATGTTGATTGCTGTCTTGCCTTACACATTTATTTTCCAGAATACCCAACCATAGCATGAATCTTACGGAAGCTATGAAAAATTGTAGCGAAGGTTCTTCACGAATTGTCTTGTCTCACAATCCAGCTAGCGTAAAAAGCTTCTCTTCTGAGGATTTGGAGAAAGTCGACGTGGTTTTGTCAGGTTGGTATTACTTAATTCGTATATTTACGTTTCTGGTAAATGTTTTACAAGGGGTGAGCAGAACTGCTCCATTTCATTCCGTTAGCACTACTAATTTGACTTGTTGGAGCTTGGTTAAATGGCTTACAATTTGACATTTAATTTTTCAGGCCATACCCATGCAGGACAATACTATGTCCTTTTACCAATAATCCCGTGGATATTGCCCTATTTTCATGGTCTGTACGACATTGGCCATGGGAAGCTTGTTTGTCTCCGCAGGCACTCTTTATCAGGTGTGTACTGGCGTGCACCTAACCGGGTATGTGAACAAGACAATCGTGAATATAGCGCTGGCT